ATAAATTTGTACATCTGTTTTCATGCTGCTGTGTAAAACCCGATTTAGGTCCTAACATGGTAGGCCAATGATTTAGCATAGCTAATCTGGGGAATTGGGAGACTCTGCTAAGTCATTTCCCTGCCCAGTAAAATCTTGCCCAGATCATAGTGCTTGTCCCTCCATCCCGTTTTTCTCCTTAATTATTTTCTCCCGTTTTGAAGAGATCCTCCAGGATGCCCAATTTCACAGGTAGGCAGAAGTGATCCTTGGTCCAGATGATGGTGGATAATCAGGATCTGGAAGAAGTGAAATCCGCAGGGCGTGATGGCTCACGCCTGTAATCACAGCACTTTGGGAGGCCAAGGTGGGTGGATCACAAGGTTAGGAGTTCGAGACCTGCCTGGCCAAGATGGTAAAACCCCATCTCTGCTAAAAATACAAAAATTAGCTGGGTGTGGTGATGGGCACCTGTAATCCCAGCTACGTGAGAGGCTGAGGCAGAAGAATCGCTTAAACCTGGGAGGCGGAGGTTGCAGTGAGCCGAGATCATGCCACTGCACTCTAGCCTGGGTGACAGAGCAAGACTCCATCTCAAAAAAAAAAAAAAAAAAAAGAAGTGAAATCCAAACCTAATCCTTGTAGCTGCCTCCTTCTGGCCTCAGTGAGTTACCTTTTTGGGCTGATCTTCTGCCTGGAACCTGCTGCATCCAGCTGGCTCGACCAGGAAGTGAACACCTCCTCTAGGGACTGTCGTGGAGACTGGTATAATAGGAAAGGAAGCCCTGCTTTTGATGAGTTTCCAGGCAAGTGTGGCTGCAGCCCAGTCTCGGGAAAAGGGATGAACACACAATTAGCAAAGGGCAAGCAAGTTCAAATGGACTCTGCCTGTGCTGGAAATGGAATGCATATATGCCAGAGGAACTAACAACAAAAGAGCAACCAGAGCTGTGTGAGTTAAATCAAGGGGCTTCCTATTGGAGGTGAGGGTTATATAGACAGGCATGGATGAGGCTGAGAGGGCATTCTGTATGGGAGGAAAGGCTCACATAAATATGCATGCTGGAAGAACAGCTTCTGATCAGGAGCACTCAAGCTAACGAATTTAGCTAGGGCCAGGCTTTCAGATGAAGGCTTTCAGATGAAGAAGGGGGCTGTACTTGGGCTGAGATCTGGAGGCTGTGAAGAGGCCAGCCTAGTTGGTGACAGACAGAAAGGCCAAGTTGGGGGTCTCAGATCTGACAGACGGGCCAGGCCCCCAGTCGTTCTCTGGGGGAAGAGCTGCTTTTTTTTTTTTTTTTCTTTTCATTTTCATACCTTGACAGGCAGTTGCTTTTTTATTTCCCGAGGATCTTAAGATCACGGAGGGCAGGAGAAGTGAGAACTCCATGGCAGTTGTGGAGTCCTACTATGGAAGTGGGACTTGGAGCCAATGTGGAAATTCCCGAGCAGAAGCGGGAGAGGACATACCCCAGAAAACTTCAGAAGGTGATGACAGCAATCAGCTTGGAGGGCCTAGTAGAGACTGGTAGCGCTAGGAGTAGTAATAATAATAGCACATAAGAATATTAGCAGTACTATTAGATAATATTTAAGGCACTTTTAAAATATACCAAGCATTGCCAAACACTTTGGAAGTATAATATTAACTCATTTGGTCCAGGAGGTGGGTAGAATTCATATCCCCATTTTAATAATGAGAAAAGTGAGGCTTAGGGAGGTACAGCAATTTACCCAAGATTGCACAGCTAAGATCTGGTGGAGGCATGCACACAAGGCCCTCTGACCATGGGCTCTTAATCACTGTGCTATGTTCCCTTCCACAGGCCTCAATCAGTCATGTAGTATTTGACTGGGTTGTTATCTTAGGTATTATCTAGACCACAGATTTCGGATACAGTCCTCTGGCTGAAGACCTCTGAGCTAGGATAACCCCTTCTCTTTTGACAGACGAGTCAGAGAATCAGATCAGTGGTAGAAGTGGAGTGCCAATCCTGAGTCTCACCTCTGCTCAAGTGCTCAACATATCCCTAGATCCTTAATTCCCTGGCAAAAGTGATTGGATGGAACCACAGACTTCCAAGAGGGGACAGTCAAGCATTAAGTACGAGAATGCACATATAACTCTTGGTGTAATGTTTAGCACATACTAAGCCTGCAATACATGGTCATCCCTTTGAACAAATCCACATGGCCAGTTTCCGTGCTCGGGGTGAAAACAGCTGGGCTGTGATTGGGGCAGGGAGAGCAATAGGTGGGGAGGGGGCTTCCTCTTTCCTGGCCTGCCATCTTGACTGACATGCTGCAGCCCTTGCCAAAATCCATGGGTCAGAATGAAAGTAAAATGTCGTTGGGAACCTTGCAATCCACCATTAAAACTGCTGGGTGTAGTAAAACAATTGCTTGCCCCAAATAAATGACTTATCCTTGCTGTTGGTTGTCTGCGTTTCTCTTTAATTATAGGCCCTCTTTGAACGCTCAAACACACAGGGCCTTTGTAAACTTGAACTCCCTCTCTCACACACATTCCTCCCATACACATACACTCCCTTTCATTTACAGAGTATAAACACCCATCTCTCACTCATTCACATAATGAATTTCAGCTCCTTGCGTCCCAATCAAGGAGAGGCCTCACTAGAATTATGGGCATCTGAGCCGTCTTCATGTTCCAAGGCCCCAGGGGGCGCTTCCAAGAGTGGATCCTTTATGGGCAGAAGATAATGGGCAAAAAGTGCTCTTCACTCATGGACTAGTCCCGGCCTTTTCTCTCCTTGGACAATAGAGTTGTTTACTTGAACAGCCACTTCCCTAAAAAAATTCCAAAATTCTCCCACATCATCCCCTTTATGCTTGAAATCATCACACACTCCCTTCCTTGTCCTCCCATCTTGCAAACTCAACTCAGAGCCCTTTGGCTCCAGAAAGATTTTCTAGGTATCAGGAGAGACTAGCAAAGCCTCCCTCCTCTCCTTGCCTTTCTTCTTTGTCAGAGAAAGAAGTCGATTCTGCGGAGAGGTAAGTAAGAAGGATCTTGAGGTCTAGAGCCTGAAAGGCTCCTGGGGCTGTTCTCCAAACTAGAAGGTAACATAAGGTGTGATTGTATCTTCTCCACCTGATACTGACTCGGCCTCCTATGCCTGTCCCCAGTCCAGGGTTTGGTCAAGAGTCAAATGAGATAATTTCATGGAGGAAGCCTGGCCCAATTTTTCTACTGTCTGCTGGAAGTACAGCCTCTTCCTATTGTACCTGCAGCCCCAGCACCTGATCTCCACATCCGTGCCAGGCAGGTAGCTGTGTAACAAGGGCTCATCTCCCTGCCCCCAATCCCAGCTCTGATTTGCTTATTCAGGTGGTGTAAATACTTCTACCAGGACCTATTTCGAGCCATTGTGATTTCCCCTGACTGGGGAGACGCAGGGCAGCATGCCATTTAATATTTCCCTCACATTTCCACCCCGCTCTGCTCTCTTTTCTGGGAGTTGCTGGCTGTCTCAGAGGGTTAGTGGTTCTGGTGGCTCAAGACCATAGGTAATTATCAAATACTTAGGAAGCGATGGGTTTTGAGTATTTATTACCTTTTAAAAATGTACTTTGCGGCTAGGCATGGTGGCTCACACCTGTAGTCCCAGCACAGGGAGGGTGAGGTGGGTAGATTGCTTGAGCTCAGGAGTTCAAGACCAGCCTGGGCAACATGGCGCAAGCCAGTCTCTACCAAAAATACACACACACACACACACACACACACACACACACAAAATTGTCCTGGCGTGGTGTCGTGTGTCTGTGGTCGCAGTTTCTCAGGGGACTGAGGTTGGAGGTAGGAGACCCAGGTAGGAGGATTACCTGAGGTCGGCAGTTCGAGACCAGCCTGACCAACATGGAGAAACCCTGTCTTTACTAAAAATACAAAATTAGCCAGGCGTGGTGGTGCATGCCTGTAATTCCAGCTACTTGGGAGGCTGAGGCAGGAGAATGGCTTGAACCTGGAAGGCGGAGGTTGCAGTGAGCCGAGATTGCGCCATTGCACTCCAGCCTGGACAACAAGAGCAAAACTCCATTTCAAAAAAAAAAGAAAAAAAAATATATATACACACAATTTGTTTAATTGTAAGTGTGTTTAGTTTAATTTTTAATAATGTCTGTGATTAACAGCTGGCTGGCAAGATTCCTGAGTACTGAAGAGTTTTGCCCCAGCCCATCCAGCACACCATGGGCCCAGGGCAGACCTTGGGGCTAGGCGGTCCTGGGTTCCACAGGGCTCCCATGCCGCTGTCCTACTGCTCTTCTGGCAACAGGACATTTACAGGGGGGAGATCTTGATTCTGGGTCTTTTAGGGGACTCTGTGATTAAGAAACAGCAGAGATGTTGCAACAGCAGGGATGAGGTGGGCCTGAGGAGGGGTCAGTGAAGGCCCTTCATTCCCAGCTGCTGACCTGGTCTGCCTTGAGATAAAGGCTAAGACCCGGAGACTGGACGATGTCCACAGGGGCAGAAGCGACTGAGGCGTCGGGACAGTGGGGCATAACCGAGAGCAAAACGTGAACCGAGACTTCAGCGCCGGTTTCTCGGGCCAGCCCACGCCTCCCGCCTCAGCCCAACGCCACTCCCTCCCCGCCAAGTGGCTCTCTGCTCTGGAGGCGGGACCGAGTTCTCCGGTGGCCCCTGGAGGCTCGGGCTGCGAGCTCTGGGAGGCTGGGAGGGGAGTGAGGGGAGGGGCGCTGACTGGGCAGTCCAAAGAGGAGGGGGCCTTTAATAGGCTCGCCCAGCGCCCGGCTTGCTGCGCTGCGAGTGGCTGCGGTTGCGAGAAGCCGCCCGGCACCTTCCGCTAGTTCTCGGCTGCAAATCTTCGTCCTTGCACTTGACAGCGATTGTACTTAAGCTCCCAGGGCGCGCTTTGCTTGGAAAGGCACAGGTAGGAAGCGCCGGCTGCCGGGTGCACGCTCGCTGCTCTGGGAGGAGTCTCCCTCCCTTGGCTCTCCTTTCAGGGAGCTGCCGGCTGTCCCGGAGCGTTGGCGGTACCAGAGTGCGGGCTGCACGGAGACCGCGTCCGCGGCCGGAGAGCCCGGCCCAGCGCCTTCCCAGAGCGCGGCGGTGCCTGCCGGGCGCCATGCTTCTGCTGGGCATCTTAACCCTGGCTTTCGCCGGGCGAACCGCTGGAGGCTCCGAGCCAGAGCGCGAGGTGGTCGTTCCCATCCGACTGGACCCGGACATCAACGGCCGCCGCTACTACTGGCGGGGTCCCGAGGACTCCGGGGATCAGGGACTCATTTTTCAGATCACAGCATTTCAGGAAGACTTTTACCTACACCTGACGCCGGATGCTCAGTTCTTGGCGCCCGCCTTCGCCACTGAGCATCTGGGCGTCCCCCTCCAGGGGTTCACCGGCAGCTCTTCAGACCTGCGACGCTGCTTCTACTCTGGGGACGTGAACGCGGAGCCGGACTCGTTCGCAGCTGTGAGCTTGTGCGGGGGGCTCCGCGGAGCGTTTGGCTATCGAGGCGCCGAGTACGTCATTAGCCCGTTGCCCAACGCCAGCGCGCCGGCCGCGCAGCGCAACAGCCAGGGCGCGCACCTTCTCCAGCGCCGGGGCGTGCCGGGCGGGCCTTCCGGAGACCCCACCTCTCGCTGCGGGGTGGCCTCGGGCTGGAACCCCGCCATCCTGCGGGCCCTGGACCCTTACAGGCCGCGGCGGGCGGGCTTGGGGGAGAGTCGCAGCCGGCGCAGGTCTGGGCGCGCCAAGCGTTTCGTGTCTATCCCGCGGTACGTGGAGACGCTGGTGGTCGCGGACGAGTCAATGGTCAAGTTCCACGGCGCGGACCTGGAGCATTATCTGCTGACGTTGCTGGCAACGGCGGCGCGACTCTACCGCCATCCCAGCATCCTCAACCCCATCAACATCGTTGTGGTCAAGGTGCTGCTTCTTAGAGATCGTGACTCCGGGCCCAAAGTCACCGGCAACGCGGCCCTGACCCTGCGCAACTTCTGTGCCTGGCAGAAGAAGCTGAACAAAGTGAGTGACAAGCACCCCGAGTACTGGGACACCGCCATCCTCTTCACCAGGCAGGTGAGTTGATCTGCTGTCATTTTGCACCCATAGAGTCCCGTTCTTTAGGGTCACCTCCCCTAGCGCTCCAAATCCCCTTTGTATCGTGCAATGCCTCCGAGTTTAAACTTCGTTAACTTCTTCCGACTCCAACTGTAGTTTTCCGGAGAGCCCTCTCCTAGGCTCGGCGGAGCGGCGGCTCACGTGCATCTGGGCCATTGGAGGAGAGCCTGCGCTTTCCGAAGGTGTTGGCCTGGCGCGGCCAATCAGCGCCTCCTGGATCGGGCGCCGAGGGGCCGGAACCCAGGAAGTTGCCGCCCCGGAGCCGCAGTTTGTGTCCAAGACCGATAGGAGACGCTATGAGGATGGTGTTGGATTGGGCGGGAACGGCCCGCCCCTATTGTATGTACGGCTGAGACTTCTCGGACACCTCATGAGGTCTCCTTTTGAGGGTTGTAGAACTGAAGGTGATCCAAGGTCAGCGCCTGCTACATTTCTCTCGGGTAACATGTTGTCCCCTCTCTGTACTGGGCCTGGAAAGCCTGGATTTGGGTGGAGGGAATCATTGAGAGATTTTGTGAGTTTGCAGTGACAGGCCAGACTCAAGTACTGCGAGCATCCCTCCTTCACTGCCGCTTCTCCTACAGCCTTCTCTGCTGGGCATGGTCCAAGGGGCTTCTAGACCATTCTGAGCAGGCAGTGTAGTTAGGGCACCTGTTTGGAGCTGAGACTGTTTCACTTGGAGTTTCAAGTGGAGTTTCACTTGGAGCTGAGTTGGGAAAATCTTTTCCAATTTTCCTGTATCCTTGCTGTCAGAGGGTGACCCGTTTGCCCAGATGTATACTACAGAGCAGAGCTGGCACGCTTGCTCCTGCTCCCAAGTCACTATAATTCCTATGACTACACTTGACTTCAGGGCTCTAGCTTCTGCCCTTGCTGGGGTGGAAGTGGTGTGAGCTTAGTCAAGAGTATTTGGAGATTCCAGCCGTAGAGTTAGAAGGAAACTGAGTATTGGGATTAGAAAGATGGATCCAGCCCAGGAAGCACCCCTGCCTTTTGCAAGGCCTTACCTGATATTCTATGTCAAAGAAGCTATGAATCTGTGAACATTTAGATTCACAGGTGTTGGAGTGATTGGGCACTGTGGAGTATTTGGATTCTTGAAATTTCTCAGATACAGGAGGCTGGGAGGAAAAGAGCCATCCAAGTGAGCTCCTGCTTCCGATTTGGGGGACGGTGACTTGAATCTGTGCCATGCTCTATTTTTGTTATTATCATAACCACAGCATTCTGGGGAGGGCATGGAATCCTTGGTTACCTCTGGGGCTCTAACTCTCCACTGTTTCCAAATGGTCACTCAAAGTTGGACTGGAGCACACCAGGCTGGAGCTGGAGTCTTCCACAGTAACCCATTTGGCACAGCTAGTCCCTTCCTAGAGTCGAACTTCCTCCTTTCCAGCCTTCTTCTCCTCCCACCACCTGGTTTCTCTAGGGAGGTCTTTGGCCTGAGTCTGTTTCCTTGTGCTCATTCTTCCAACTGAGGTCTGTTGAGCTGCCACTGCCCAGCCTCTGCAAGCACTGCCTGAGTCATGGGGAAGCTGCAAAGGAGGTGGCTTTGACCTCTGCACACAGACCAGCTTGGCAGTTAGATTGCTGGGGCTTGAAAAAAAGCAAAGGCCAAGAACAGGATTTCTTAATGGGCAAAGCAGCTGTTGCCCCATTTGCTACCTGGGCTGCCCCGTTGAAGGTCACTCACTGGCTCCAAAATAAAAGCCCTCAGCCTCTGCAGCCTGGTGGGGAAGGCTGGCTTCTGGAGTCAGCCCTAGGAAGAGAGCTCCTGCTGGGCATAGGACCCTGCCGTCAGAAGGAGGCCGCCTTTGAAGAAGAAGCAATCAAACAGCATGACAGCTTCCATTTCTCAGTAGTGTGTGTTCAACCCCCCGGGGGCTGCGTTGTCCATGCATAATGGGTACAAGATGCATGACCACTGGATCAGAAGCAGTGACGTGCAGGATGTGACTTTTAGAAGCTGCCTTCCCCTTAGGTGCCTAGAGAGCAAAGCCAGGGAATCGGGCTTCTGTGTTTTCAGGGCTGCCATCAAGGTATGTACATTTATGCTTCAGAGTAAGCACCTCTCCCCCACCTCCTCACCAGCTCGGACTTCAGGGCCTTCTGCATTCTGAGAGTCTCAGGATCTTCTCACTGCTGGTCTCTCCGGGGGAAGGTACAGTATTCAGTGAGAACAGGAGCGAGTAGCTGCCCTTTCTAAGATTAAGGCAGACGCGGTCTCCAGGAACCTTCACCGCCCGGAAACGAGAATATAGCGGTTGTACAACAAGTATTTTGACAATTTGGGGAGTTTACTTAAAGATTCAGAGTCAGTTCATGGAGAAAAGTGCACATTTGATTTTGCAAAGTGATCGGTCTCCAGGCTCATAACAGCAGGGTGAGGTCAGCACAGGACTGGAACCAGGATCTGTGAAGAACCAGAGCCAGAGTGTTGCTCATTTATTTCTGTGAGGAGAGAAGTTTCTTTGGCTTCCTGTTGCACTGGGCGACAGGAGCCAGGTATTTAATGCTGAGACTTTGTAGGCCCTTATTCCCTGAGACTTCTCTGTCTTTAGGTCCAATAACGCTGCCGTTTGGGTAACCCTTTGTGGTAGAATGGCTTTCATTCATTTATTCGTACACTCTTTTAATACTTGTTGAGCATTATCTATTATTATTTCTAGGTATTACCCTGGGCTGTGGAGCTACAAATAGTAATAAAATGTGGTCTTGGCCGGGCGCGGTGGCTCACCTCTTGGGAGGCCAAGACGGGCGGATCATGAGGTCAAGAGATCGAGACCATCCTGGCAAACATGGTGAAACCCCATCTCTACTAAACATACAAAAATTAGCCGGGCGTGGTGGCGGGCGCCTATAGTCCCAGCTACTCAGGAGGCTGAGGCAGGAGAATCACTTGAACCCGGGAGGCAGAGGTTGCAGTGAGCCGAGATTGTGCCACTGCACTCCAGCCTGGCGACAGAGTGACGCTCTGTGCAAAAAAAAAAAAAAAAAAAGTGGTCTCAGGTCCCCAGGAATTCACAATGTGATGAGGAGCTTACAAGACAACAGCTAATTTCAACAGGATGTGCTAAGTGCCAGACCAGCCCCGCTGGGGAGGAGGGGCGTTCTCCTGAATGCTGGAGCTAAGGAAGCGCTCCAAGGGATGGGAGCAGAAAGGGTACTGGCTGCGGAGTGGGGGCTGGGGAGGGGAGCTTGTTTTCTGTGTCATCAGATGCCCTCTCCTCCATTCCACTGCCTGCTTTGCTATCTGTGACCTTTTCTCTTCTGGACTGATTTTTTTTTTTTTAAGGACTTGGTAGTTTATGGTTTTACTGTCTGTTTCTTGATTTCTTTCTTTTTTTTTTTTTAAGGACTTGTATTTTATGGTTATTCTGTCTGCTTCTTCATTTATTTCTCTTTTTTTTAGGACTTGTATTTTATGGTTATTCTGTCTGCTTCTTCATTTATTTCTCTTCTTTCTAGGACTTGTATTTTATGGTTATTCTGTCTGCTTCTTCATTCATTTCTTTATTTTTTAGAGACAGGGTCTCATTCTGTCACCCAGGCTGGGGTGCAGTGGTGCCGCCAGCTCACTGCAGCCTTTAACTCCTGGGCTCAAGCGATCCTCCCACCTCAGCTTCCTGAGTAGCTGGACTACAGGCCTGCACTGCCGTGACCAGCTAATTTATTTCTGTAGAGACAGGGTCTCACTATGTTAACCAGGCTGATCCTGAACTCCTGGCCTCACGAGATCCTCCTGCCTCAGCCTCCCAATGTTTTAGGATTACAGGTGTGAGCCACCATGTCTGGGCTCTGTAATATTCTTTGTGAGAAGACTTTTAACTACAAATTTCATTTTTAAAACATATATATTCAAGTTGTTTTTCTTGAGTGAACTTTGGTCATTTATATTTTTCAAGAAATTTTTCCATATCATTTGAGTTGTGAATTCATTGACAAAAAGTTGCTTATAATATTGTCTACTATGTTTCCCACCTCAGTCTCTCAGTCTCACCCAGCCTGTAGCTGGGACTACAGGCATGTGCCACTATGCCTGACTAAATAAAAAAAACGTCTTTTTTGGAGACAAGGTCTTGCTATGTTGCCCAGGCTGGTCTCAAACTCCTGGGCTCAAGCAGTTTGCTCGCCTTGGCCTCCCAAAGTGCTGAGATTACAGGCCTGAGCCACTGCGCCTGGTCTATTTTGTTTGTTTTTTTCCTGTTGCTTCTTCATATCATTTGACGCCACCTCTATTCCCTCTCCTCTGGCTCTTCTTCCATGCTCTCACCTTCCTCTTTTGGGACTATCCAGGCAGGATCTTTACAGTCTTTCTCTTCCCCCTTATTCTCTTCATTTGTACTCTGACTTTTCCCCGCTCACAACCCCGAGCTTGGTGCTATCTTCTTGTTTTGACCTTGAGCAGTACTGTGTTTCACTGGGGATACCCTACACTGCGCAGAGCGGAACAGCATTCTAGAACCTCATGTGAAACAGACGCCAGTTCTTTTGGTGATAAAGCACTTGTCATAGGGCAGTGATATTTACTGTTCAGATAAAAATAGTTAATAATGAAGTGATAATACGTATGTTACACATATCTCCCTATACAATAGAAAAGGATCATGATTTCATTAGGATCTTTCTTGAAGTTGGACTTTGGAAGATATTAGGAGACAGAGGTCATTGGTAGATTTAGTATTTAATAATTTGTTATTCTTGGCCACTAACTGGAAACGCAACACCATGCCTTCTGGGAGGGAGGAGGGAAGGAGTGGGAAGAGAGAGGGAGGAGTGGAATATGTTGGTTCCCTGTCTTGCAGGATGAGTGCTCTCTCTCTTTAGTTACATCAAATGAGTTCGCCTGATATTAATGTCAGCAGATGGGGGAGGAAGGTTGGAGGGAGTCTTTTTCTTTTATTTTTAACTGCTGGTCTAGTCAGAAAGGCAAGTGAGTTTTTCTTTCTTTAGGTCTC